TAGTTAATGTGGCTGAATTCACATCAATTCTGTCTCCCTAGAGATGTTAAATAACTTGTCCAAAGTCAAGCAGCTAGTAGGAAACTAACTTTAGATAACTTACAAGTTAAATAAAAAGCGAACAGGGAATATTTACTTCTCTAAGCTTCTCTCCATATTTAAAAATTCTACCCTAAAACAAACACTCCTTTAGCTTCCACTTGGTTCTGTTTGATGGGAAGCAGGAACTTACAGCCCAGTATGCACTTGGTGTTATTTACTATCTCTGCTCTTTGTTCGCTATAGGCTTGTACCTTATAGATTCAAAGGTGCCTCCTTCCAGCTGTGGACTCCCGGTTGGTCCCCCAGCTCTGGTGGAGAGAGCCTTTACCTGGATCCTCAGGTAGATGGAGCAGCATTTGGGTTACTAGATAAAATACAGGATGCCCAGTTAAATGTTAATATTGGATAAAAAAAAAAATAGGCTGCATGGGAAGTTGATGTCATTATTATCTCCTTTTTAAAGGTGGAGAAAGTAAGTCAAAGTGAGCTTAAGTACTTAGCCAAGGTCATACAGTGGGTCAGTGGCAGGGCTTGGGGCTAAGCCCAAACAGTGTGATTCCAGATCCTAAGATCCTCACTGTCATGATAATGTTCTTCCTAAATACTAAATCATAATGTGTTTTCCTTGCTAATCCCTGTAGGAAGTTTATCGCACGGGTCTTTTGTCCTCCCACGCTTTCCCCCATGACGATATAATGGTTAGCCTGTGTATTTGCTCCTCCTGGAAGCCTGGGGTATCACCGTATTCCCCATGGTCCCTGCAGCCTGGTCCGGAGTCTGGCATGTTTCTGGCAAATGTTTTAGGACTCCGGCTCCAGAGCCTGGGCTCTTAGCCACTATCTAAACTGGACGCTACTTTAAAATAACTGAAGCGAGACAATTTCTGGGGATAGGCGCAAAATTAGCCATGAAACTCAATTTATAGCCCATACTCTAAAACACGATTCCACACAACGCAAAGGACGACCTCTCCTGCCCGCCCCTTCCGCTCCTCAGCACGGCGCCTGCCAGGGCCGCTTGCCATTCACAGGAAGGCAGCTCCTGGCACTCAGCGCTCCCCCTCCACCAGCTCTGCAGCCTACGGCTAGGGTGAGGCAAGCGAGGCACCCGGGCGCTACCCTTAACTGGTGCAAGTTCAGCTGGGCACCTGAGCATCTGCCCTTTACCTTTTTTACCGGGGTGCCTCACTCAGCTCACCCTGTTCTTGACCTTCTTAAACATATAAGCAGCATGTCACTGTCTGCTGGAGTCTCTGCAGGGCGAAGCATGAGCCGTGAGCCACTTACTTGTTTAGGGAAGTGGAAGAAGCCAGGGGAAGGAGCAATGGGAGTGCCAGGTCGAGTCTCCCATGGGTCAGGCTGATCCGGAACTGCCGTGGGGCACAGAACTGCTGCTGCTACGTAGTGACCGAGGCTGCCACTGCATCCCGAATGGCCAGGAGCGCTGGCCAGCACTGCCCTGTGAGGCGTGACTGGGCGCCTGCATGAGGATTTTTTACATGTCCCCAAGGTCTACTCCCATGGGGTCAGGCAACCTGAGCAGCTCTGGTCTATGTAAATAAAATCTGACAAGCCTCCCACTCGCCAACCTCTTCCTCTGGCCTCAGCTAGTTCCTCCTTGACTTCAACTAGCCCTACTGGCCTCAACCAGGCCACCTGGCCTGAACTAGTGCACCTGGCCTCAACTAGCCCCTCAACAGCCCTTGTCTTGAAGGCTTTCCCAGTCTCAACCTGCTCGCTTCATGGTCTCGCCCACACCTGGGAGGCCCTTGCCCACCTCCTCCCAGGACACGCCACAGTCCCTGAAGGCCCAGTTCGCCGCCTGGACCCTGCATGGAGGATCCCGCAGCCCCGCCCACAGTCCTGTCTCCAGGGAGCGGGTGCTCACTGTCAGTGAATGTCTGCAACGGCCAGGCTCCCAGGTTTTGCAGAGCCGAGCTCACCTCCGCACCACCGCACGGTGCAGAAGGCATGCTTCTCCCCATTTTGTAGACAAGGGGACCTAGGCTCAGAAAAGCTAAGTGCCCAGTGTGAGATCATAGTTTTAGGAAATTAAAAACAAGATATTTAAACCCTATTCTCTCTGACCCCACAGCCCAGGTTACACCACCTCTCCCCTCCCTGCCGTCGGTCCCCTTAGTTAAGGTGCTGATCCCCAAGGCCCAGCACATGCCATCAGTGCATGTGGAATGAAGGAGACCAGCAGCTGGACACACCTGGGATAAAAGTACTCACAGATGAGCCCAGGCTGTGACCTGAGATAGCACGGCCAGCACGGACCAGACATCCAGACAGAAAATAACAACTGACCTGAACTCTACGACTTGCCAGTGCTGATCCAGCCAGTGCGGAGTTCCCACAAAGGGACCTTGTGTATGTAGGTGGGGGCGGGGGGGGGCGGGGTGCGGCGTCCTGTCAGGGTGAGACCGTTCATTTGCATTACAAAGGGTCTCTTCTGGTTGGAGTGAAGGCTGGGAGCTGGGCTTGCTGCCTTGCAGAAAGCTTCTAGGCTTTCAGATAGCTGGATCTCCATGGAAATTAGTTTGCAGAAAAGAGCTATTTTAAGGACCAGCAAAGTCGAGAACCTGTGGGCTGGGGTTAGGGAAGGTAGCTGTGGGAGAGAGCTTTTCTGAATGACTCACTAATTTCCCTCCTATGGGGTGGAAAAAAATGGCATGGAATAGGAGCTGAAACCCAGGAAGGAGGAGGGGCCTGCAGGCTGACCCCTCCTGGGGGCTGGCTCGGGCTGCAGCAGCTGGCCTGCAGGCTGGGGGTGGAGACGCTGGGTGCCCAGCAAGCAAGCGGCTATTAGGCAATACCCATTTCGGTAACAACACCTTCTTGCTGGCACAAAATCTGCTGCTTTCAACCAGCGTTCATATCATCATGCAAAGAGGGAAAATGTTACTTCTTAAAGCAAAGTGACTGCGGCAGCTTCTGCAATCTCGGGGGACGGCGGAATTCATCTTGGGGGTGCGGGGCGCTTTTGTGAGGAAGGCTTGTTAATAAAACCGCCTTCTTGGTTGGGGAGGTTGGTGAAGATTAGCTGAAGCAAAGAGATGGTCTTCAACCTATGATGGGGTTGCATCTCAATACACCGTTCGTAGGTTGAAAATACCGTAAGTTGAACATGCGTTTAATACACCTCACCTACTGCACATCATAGCTCCGCCTAGCCTGCCTTAAACGTGCTCAGAACATGATACCCACAAACCGCTGACAACACCGTGCACTGTAGAGTATCGGCCGTTTACCCGCGTGATCCCGTGCCTGGGAGCCATGGGTCACAGCTGTATCACGGGAGAGTATCGTACTGCATATCACTGGCCCAGGAAAAGATCAAAATTCAAAATTCGAAGTACAGTGTCTACTGAACGTGGATCACTTTCACACCATTGTAAAGTCAAAAAATCGTAAGTCGACCACCATAGGGAGCCTCTGCAGAGGTAGATCGCTTAGGTGATAAACAGGTGGACATTTCTGGGCTCCCCTCTGACCCTGCCGTAGGAGGGGGATTCAGGTGTTTGGGAGGCCTAGGATTGGGAGGAAAGCAGAGATGGCAAAGGAACCTGGCTAAGGTGGGTCCCGAGAGATGGTGGCAACCAGACCCCAGGGAGAAAGGTGGTCAGGGACTGTGAGGAATGGCTGTAGGGTTGAGCAGTTAAAAGGACAAAAATGAAAATTCTTAAACTCCACAGTGTTTCCAGCTCTGGGCTTTGCAGTGGGCCCTGCTGTCCAGGAGCTTACGGTCGAAGCCTGTTTGGTGTTCACACAGTCTGTGTTGTAGCTTCGGGGTGACGCACGGGGGAGAGCCGGCCTGCTCCGCCCACTAGAACTCAGAGCAAGAGGTGACGGGGAGTCCAAGGAGCACCCACACTGCCGTTCATTGACTTGCTTCTCCTAGGAACCCGCAGAAACGTTGGGGAGGGCCTGGACGTCCATTCCAGGTGGGGTGGGAGCTCGAGGTCTTTGCTCTCCCTTGCACGCCAGCCCGCTCTGCAGCCATTGGGTCCCCCAGGTGCCGCAGTCATCAATGCCCTGGTCTACGGCAGTGGGGTGATGGATGTAGGGGGGTTGGCCTAAAGGATGTCCGGGTGTCTCCAGCTGTCCCCTCGTCCTAGCCCTTGGCCTATCAAGCCAGAAGGCTGGTGCCTGGGGACCAGGAAGTGAGCCTGCAGGGGGCCAGGGGATCTCATCTGAGTGTGGGAGGAGCTGAGGTTGCAGTGGGCTCGCAGGCCTGCCCCGGGGGGCCAGGGGATCTCATCTGAGTGTGGGAGCTGAGGTTGCAGTGGGCTCGCAGGCCTGCCCCCACTAGTCTCCACGGGCCATTGCTGAAGTGCAGGAAATGGTTTGCTCCATGGCCGCCAAGAACACCACTCCTTCGAGCTCTGCCTGGAGTCTAGGCCTGGTGTCTGACCTGGAGCAGAGGCTGAGAAGCCGGAGGTGGTGGGAATAGCAGCCCAGGCCAAGGCACTCTGGAAGTGGGGCCCAGCAGCGCCCCTCACTGGCCCTCCCTGACCCATGGGTGGCGCAAGCTGACCCTGAATGCAGGGAGCGGGAGGCCCAAGACCCAGGGATCATTCATTGTTCATGCTAAGGTTAATAAACACATTACGTGGAGCTTAGCATGAACACTTATAAAAGCCAGGAAGAACTTATGATTGCAGGACAGCAGGTGGTGGTGGTCCAGAGGTGACATTGGTGGAAGCTGGGTGGCTGCAGGGTGCCCGGAGTCTCACGAAGATGTGTCACATCTGCCGTTGGTCCTGGTCCATGCCCGACGTCAAACTAGTTTTGCAGTCCCCTCTGGCCAGGGCACTGCTCACTCATCACCATTGTCGACTTCCACATTCGCCCTCCCTGGCCAATGCTCTATGGCCCTGACAACCGGCGACATGTCTGTGGCGGAATGCCAGGAAAAAGCGCCACACAGACGGGAGCTGAGTGAGAAAGGCACGATTTATTGGTCACACAGTCTGACACAAGGGGATGTGGGCTGTGTACCCATTCTCCTGCACTGACGCTCACTTCTGGATTTGTTTTCCTACATCAGTTCTGCTACGTAAAAAGCAACACGAGAAAAGACATCGACAATCTAGTCTTCTAGTAACCAAGGAAGCAGGGCCACAAGCCATGGGGTTCGAAAGGAAAAGGCTGCACTGTTTTGAGAGCTGGGAACCAGTCTCGGGCAGCCAGGCAGGGGAGCTCGGCTTTCAGGAGCCACAGCTGACTCTCCTATTAGCACGAGATAAGCCTTGCGGGGCTTGGCTCAACCCATGGCCCAGTGGTGGCTTCCCAGCTCAAAGCGGGCATGGGGGACCGGCTGAAGCCAGCTCTCCCCACTGGAGAGGAGGAGTGGATTTTCCTTCTCCTTCAGACTAAAGAACTGAGAGGACTCGCACAGGGCCCTGCTCTCCGTGCAGCTCTGCCCGAAGCCCGGGGCTTTAGCAAAAGCAGTCTGCATCACCGAAGCTGGACAAGGCCAGGTCCCTTGTAGCCTAAATCAACACTCACTCCTCAGCTCTCTTAAGGCCAAGTCCCGTCTCACTGCAGGAGGGCACTGGCCTTAATTTTTAATGCTTTGTCCAAACCACTCAGGACATACGGTTTTGAACTGAGGGGTCTGGGAATGTGCTTTTGATTGGCAGAAGACTCAACTCAAAATATTGGATAAGTACTTAGCAGGTACCTGGCACGTGGTGAGTGCTCGATACATGCAGCCATTATTATTATTAATATTATTATTATTTCTATCTCCACCTGCAAATTGGCATTTCAGTTCCTTTCTTCAAAATGGCAACTGGAACAAGGCCCTTGGGTGCCAGGTACCGAGAACAAGCTGGGAGCCCAGGTGCGGAAGTCGTTCGCTGCCATTCAGGTAAGCTCTCTCTTCGCACCTCAGCCTCGGGGCCGAGTCTCGCAGCCAGCATCCGCTGCTGACCACACAAGCTGGGTCTCTCCTGAAAAGTCCAAAGTCCTGCCTAGGAAGCTGGGTAGGAGGAGCCCACAGGAAGTCCCAGCAGGGGTCCGAGTGGCTTTGCGCTGCTCTTCTGGGCTCCTGTCTCGCTGGCAGCTCACCAGGGGCTTCACTGCAGGACAGAAACAGCAGACAATCAGCACTGCATTCTCGCCTGGCCAGATTTAACTAAAGGTCCCCGGGTCCCTGCGCGCTGTGGGCTGGGTCAGGCTTCCTTTGACATAGCGCTGAAAAAGCCACCACGTTGTTCTAGGTACTTCATATGTATTCTAGGACATATGCATATGTGTTATGCATGCATAGTAATACATAGTATATAAATATGTAATGTATATAATCTACGTATACATTACATCATATAGTAATAATATACGATGAAATTTAAGCCTCCTTATAAACCTCTGAGGCAGGTTCCATAAATAGCTCCTTTTACACAGACGAGTAAACTGTAGCTCAAGGCACAGAGCCAGGAGGTAGGAGAACGGGAATTCAAACCCAGGATGGTCTGGCTCCAGAGTCTGTTCTCAGCACTATGAGTTTTGCTCAAAAAGAAATGTTTTTTAAAAAGAGGGATATTACATCTGAAGTTTCTCAAATACTGGGAAATTTTTAAGTACTAATACTAATGATGATAATAATAAAATGTAACTGATCTGAGTTCTTTGTATTTATGGAGCCTTATTCCTATAGGCCTGACACAGGAGGGCTCAGAGTCTATCCACAGCCCCTCCTTTCACCCTTCTTTTGGAGATAGAGAGACGTGGGTTCAAATCCCGACTCCAGCTCTTCCTCATGGATCTGCTCCCAGAAGCACTGCTTCTCAGACCCTAGTCCGGGGCGGGGTTGTTGTATCATGCACATGCACACTTGTACGCATGCACACGTGCAGCTGAGCACAGTCCTAGGCATGGCAGGTTGTATCCTGCAAGCGCACATGCATGCACGTGAGCCCACACGCATTCCTGGGCATGGTGACCGTGACACACGCATGCGCACACATGCGCCGTCCATCCCACACGCGCACCCCAGCGCACCTGCAGGGCTGCCCTGCCCAGCGGCGAGTCCTCGGGCCGGTGCTTGCCGTGGTGCGGGAGCTCGGCGTTCTCGCGGTAGTCGCGGCCCTTGGAGTGCTGCAGGTGCAGGACCGCAGGGCTCTTGACCGGGAGGGGCGGCCGCTGCGCGGGGGTGGGCGGCGCCTGCTGGCTCAGCTCCGACCTGGAAGGCTTGATGGGCCTCTTGGCTGGCACTGGGGCTTGGGAGCTGGCAGGGGCCTTGGGCTTCCCCTGGCCCTTGTCCCCTGCGGCCGGCCGGCTCTCCGGGGCAGGTGAGCAGGTGTAGGAGCGGAGCCGGGGCGTGGGGCTGAGGAAGGGCGTGGGCGGAGGCACCAGCTTGCCTGTCGCCTTGCTGCCCTCGGCCTCCTGGGATTTGGAGAGCATGATGCTGGGCGACATGGTTCCGGGGTCCGGGCAGGGTGGGGGCTCCTTCCTCAGCATTTTGGGAGATTCCTGCTCTTTCCTGGGAACCAGCTTAGGGAAGGAACTCACAGACCCGTACAGCGGGTTCTCAAACATCTCGGGCTTGGCCAGCTTCGGGTCCTCCTGAGGCAGAGGTTCCACTGTGTTCTTCCCCACGTCGCTGGGCCTAAATTGTGGGGAAGGGGAGGAAACGCAGGTGGAGAATGAGTGCTTAGTGCCAGATGGCGTTTTCTTGGGGGTCATGAACACGTTTGGGACTAGATGGAGGTCGTGGTTGCACAATACTGTGAAGTACTGATTGCCACCGAATTCTCCACTTTAAAATGGTTACTTTATATTATGTGAATTTCGCCTCGATTGCAAATGAGAGGCAAAGGCACTGTGTTACTTATAGGTGGGTGACCACACAGGGGACCTCAGCTGCTACACTGACCTTTTCCTTCATAAAAAGTGTCACACCAGAGCCTGTAAGTAGTAAGGGGACTCAATCGAGGGGTTTGCAGGAGAAAGGGGAGAGGGGGCTTCCATGGCACCGTCAATATCAAGACCATCGTCTCCAAAAAAATAAAAATAAGTAAAAAAAACAAAAACAAAAACAAAAAACAAAAAAATCATCCCCTCCAACATCGCCAGAGAAGGCTGCCCCTCACTGCGGAGGACAGACCTGCCTTCCTGGCTCCCCCTCACCAGCCCCCCACCTCCCATGAATCCCACAGCCTCTCTGCTAGCTCTAGCAAATTCTGCTCTGACCCTGAGGGGAACAGAAGCCTTGCAGGTGACCAGACGTCCTCAGTGACCATCTGTGCTACTCAGGGGGGTTCCAGGTCGAGGACCTCCATTTGAGGTGTGTAGGAGGCAGCCATGTGCCCCAGGCACAGGAGGCCAACATGAAACAGACAAACTCTGGGCTCAGAAGGCCGACATTCCTGGTTTACACAGTGTTCTTCCCAACCACATAGGCCTCTCCCTGGAGAACTCCAGGTGACTGGTTTCCTTGGTGGCCTCACTCAGTGGGAAGGAAAAAATGGTGGTCAGGCTGGCAGTCGGCGGGAACCTGGGATGCGAGCACTGGGAACGAGCGGCAGCAAGGAAGGAGGCCTGTGGACGTGTCAGGAGCCGAAGCCGGGAAGCGCTGTCTGTGTGTCTGCTTCCTGATTCATTATGGCTCTCACTGAGCGGATTTCCCGCTGAGCACTTTATGAGAACCAGGAATGAGAACACAGTTCACTTCTGGCCAACAGCAGCACCTCCCAGGGGAGACACTGCAAAAAGGAGGCTGTCGTGAAGAAAATGTGGGTCCCTTGGAGCCCACTGACTGTTCAGGCCATGACACCTCTTACTGATGAAATGTGTGTGGACATGCTGTTCAAAAGTTGCTGAACAGCCAAGGCGGATAGACTTTTTGGCGAATAGTCGTGGGCTCAGGGGACAGGGGAGAGATGTCATCCTTGCATGGGTGCCGATGAGATGAGATGACATGGGAGCCTAGCCTCAGGGACATGCCAGTGGGGGCTTGACTATAGACTCAGTGTTGGGCTCATTACTCTTTGGAAAGACCTGGAACAGCTGCATAACCAGAAATGTTGGGGGCCTTGCATGAAGACTCTGGAAGGCCGCCCCTCCACCCCAGGCCGTCCTCTGCACCCGGCTGGATCCTCAAAGACCTGTGCTGTGAGTTAACCTTTGCAGGAGGGGACGAGCAGCACTCACCAGAAGTTCTGAGGAAGAGGCAAGATGGAAAAAAAGAAAAATGCGTGGCCTGACACCTGACGGCCCACTCAGTGACTGAGACAGGGGGAGGGGCTTCACCTCAGAGAACCGGGGCCAGGGCCAGAAACAGGCCCTGGATGTGAGCATCTTTAAGTCTTATTTCCATGACCAAAGGTAACAAGAAACGGAGTCCGCAGCGGGCCACGGTTGTGGAATAAGTCACCAATATCCAGGGCCCAGAGTTAATTCTTGTGGCAAAAGGACTCCACTTCTCAGATTCCGGAGTCTGTTCCTTCTGGAGCGAAACACTGGGCGAGGAGGTCTGAGGGGAGCCCTCGAAGCCCCCTACGGCCATCCAGGGAGACCAGTTGTTCCAGTTTGCCCAGGATTCCAGGGTCTCGTGGGATGCAGGATTCTTAGTGCAAAAAAAGGGACAGTCTTGGGCAAATCGAGACAGCTGGTCATCCTACTTGAGTTGGGGATGATGGTGGGAAGACATGGAGGGTGCTGGTGACACCCCCTTTTCCACAGCCTCTGCTCGGGCTGAGCCAGGGTTGACAGCAGCGAAGAAGGCTGCAGGCAGGTGTGGGAGCTGCCGGCTTCCTGCCTCTAATCACCTCCCTGGTGAGCGGCGAGCTTAGAATGCCACCCTGGGGGCCCCTTGCCTACAGGTGTCCCCATTCTGAAGCTGTCACCTGTGAAACTGGAGGGAACACGTTCCCCACCCAAGCTGCGTGCTGAGTTCGAGCTGTTAACCACGAGGAAACACTTCCTTTGGGAACTTAGAAACATTTCCTTGTTCTACGTGGTTGCTCACAGCTCCTTTTCTTGATTCGCCAAAGAAATGACCTTTGCTAAAAAGGTACCTCGGCACCCACCATACGGTGGCTTTTGTCCTCATTTTCCAGGGCAGAAAATTAAGGCTTTTTTTTTTTTTTCCTTCAAGTTTCTTATGGAATAACCAGAGTTCAAAAATATTGACGACAAATTCTGAAAACTAGAGGCACAGAGATAGGACTGGGCTCAAGGGCAGGCCTACTTACTTACCCTATCCTGTCCTACGACATCCTCCTTCCCCCTCCCTCCCTCCCTTCCATTCACCTATCCATTTTTTTTTTTTAAAGAGAAAAACTTAAGGAACAAAACTGTAATCTGCCCCTAGGAAAGGCTGGAAGCGGTGGGGATGAGGGAGAACATTCTCTGACAATACTCCCTTCCCCGGCTTCTAATAAGTGACAGAAAACACCACCGAGAGACGTAAGACCTCATAAAAGGGAAGAGAGGCTGAACAACCCCCTGTAGTCGTTATAAAGAATGAAGACGGCGGGTCCCTGGGACAGACGACGCTGGTGATATTTTGCCCATCTTCGATCATCGTTGTCTGGGCGATGCGCTTTTAACTTCCGTCTGCCATCCTGTGGTTGCCAGACACCCGCGGGGGTCCCGAGCCTGCGTTTCCACCGGACGCTCTCCAGTGGGTTTGCTTGGTTCCGGCAGCATGTGTGAGAAGCGGCTGTGGCTCCGTCCACCGGACTTGGGCTTCTCCCTGGCTGAGTCCTCCTGACATGTGCTGCCTGGACCAGTTCTAGACGCAGGTCAGCCTTCCCTAACCTCCTGGCCTTTCCCGAAGTTTCACGGCTCATCCCCGCCCTTGCAGGCTAGCCG